CCCCCACGGCTGAAACGGCGAGCATATTTGGTGTGACGGGGATTCGAACCCGCGACCCTCAGATTGCGAGTCAAGCGCCCTAACCACCTGGCCATGGTAGTCTCTGGCATTTACTGGTAATAGTGTTTTATTTTGTTATATTCTTATTTTCTGCTGATGTTCATATGACAGCGGAGAGCAAGTAGGAGAATGGTCAACATTGAGTATTTTTCTTTCGAAATACTGGTAATCTTCGTTGTTTCAAAACATATCCTTTTAATAAATTCAGAATTAGATGAATTATTTTATATTCCAAAAAAAGACAAAATACTTATTAGAATGGAATGTATATTAAGCAAATATAGACAGTTTCTCTTTTCTATGTGTATAGGACTTTTGCTAATACGATTACACGAACATTTCATCAAACTCTCTGAAATTCACCTTTAGAACAATAAGAAGGGAATCAAATCATCGTCACATTTTTTTATTACTTACTGAATTAAAGTCATGAAACAGTGTCGTATTTAACGCTGCTGAATAAACTACTATATCATTTTTTTCTTGATATTCAACGTTTGCATACCTTATTCCTCTAGTTAAAGTGATTTTCGTGCTGTTTTGCATTAACGTCTGACAGAAAGGTCCCCTGGTGGGACAGCGGTAAAGTCAACAAACTTACAAAGCGGTGAACATAGCAGATAGCCCAATATGGCTTTACTATAAAACCAACATAATAACAATAAATTGATAGAAACCACGACGTAAGCCAGGTGTTTTTGAAGGGTTCACCTCAAAGGTTTTAGTAGTGCCACCTGGTGGTAGGTAAAAGTGAAGTAAAGTAAAAAGCATATCAATAAAGCATTTTATAGCTATAATACTAATCACTCTAATATTGTCGATTCAGTTCCTCCCAATTACCACATTTTTAATGCCACCTTTTAGAAGTTAAGTGAAGTTAAGACTTTGATTTGAGTATTTTTTGGACCTAATGTTATTTTAATAATAATAACAAGATGTGTTGAATTACTGTTGAAACAAAACACTTTTATACGCTGTTTATATACAAATTACGTTTTTACTCAGTAAATGTGTACAAAATTAGACTCTAATGCTTGTAGTAACATAAAGGGTTAAATTCTTAAAAGAAAAAAAAAGCGTAAGGCATAATACCTAGGTAGGTTTTTCACTGGTAACTATTTGTTCTTAATTCAATGCACTATTAATGAGGAGGAATAAAGGTATAAACACAAGATCTTCGCGTGCATGCGTCTTGACTGCCTGGGGCGGAACTGTAATCTTCTTATCTCGTGATATATAAATATACGTATGTACGTATAGCAAAAACTGTCTTTTTTTATCATTCAGTAGACATAATAGAAACCACTGTTCAGTCTTCTAATACACATTTTTAATTGATTTGTACAGGTGCTTGTTATCACAAGCTTAACGTGTAAGTAAGAGAGATGTACGTACCAGTAGATCTGGTATTAAACTCTAGAGATCAAATCGAAGTTTTTGGAACCTAAATCACAACATGTGATTCTTAAAGTTTAATCTAAATTTTTTCACATTTTATTTAATAATCGGTCTCTCGGCGGGTCATCGGTAAGTTTAGGGATTTATAATACTAAAATTGGCAATTTGATTCCCTACAGTGTACAGAGCACAAATAGTTATAGTGTAGGTTTGCGCTAAAAACAACAACAACCTAAAACAATAAACACAACTTGCTACTCGCCAGACGATAATTACTCAACCTCAATGATAAGCTATGTAAAACCTGTTGTAATAAACAATAGTTGTGGGATCCAATCTTTGCAAGAAAAACATAATTTGTGTTATAGGCGTGTTTTAGCGCCAGTCTGTACAATGTTCTACCTGCACTCAGTCTGACCATCGTAGGCAATCAATCCCTGGATTTTAACATTGTAAGTTTCCCAGTTAATACTTAAAGGCAGAAAGCCTATCTTCTTAAACTCCTGGTAGAATAATAGGATATGATCCATTATGTGTGTGTGTGTGTGTTAGCATTCATCACCCAGAATCGGCTGGGTCGATTAACAAAATTTTTTGTATGGCAACTGGAAACTGTCCGATGATTTCCTGTTTTAGACTTTTGACTTTGGTTTTAAAGACACAAGTACTTAATCAGTTAAATGAGTCAATTATTACCTTCCACAAAACAGATTATACAATTAGTATCTAATAGGTCGCTAGGGATTTAGTGACAAAAGAGAGAGAAGTAAGGGGACATCATTTAACATCGTTCTTTGTTCAATTTTTGACTTTGGTTTTAAAGACACAAGTACTTAATCAGTTAAATGAGTCAATTATTACCTTCCACAAAACAGATTATACAATTAGTATCTAATAGGTCGCTAGGGATTTAGTGACAAAAGAGAGAGAAGTAAGGGGGACATCATTTAACATCGTTCCTTGTTCAATTTTTGCTTCCTTAACGAATAACCTCAGATAGTGTTTAATAATTATTTGACTCCTCATATATTCTTTGCCCACAGTGGGTATCGAAGCTAGATTTTTAGCCATATAAGCCATAAGAATTACTGCTGAGCCACCGGGGGGGGGGCGTCTAAAAAAGCACACACACTCGCATTTCACTATGGTTTCGAAATTCGAAATACATTAGAGTAATTACACAGTTTTGCATTTTTAATAACAACTTGAGCCCCCCAGTGGCGCAGCGGTATATCTGCGGACTTACAACGCTAGAAACCGGGTTTCGATACCCGTCGTGGGCAGAACACAAATAGCCCTTGTGTAGCTTTGTGCATAATTAAAAACAAACAATAACAACTTGAAACTTTTCTTTCAAAATGCTTTCAACCTCTTTAAACGCACCACTTTTTTTACCACCAACCCCACATTTTAGAGGCAGTCTCGTTTTCTGCCACAAGGACATTCTTCCAGGTTTATTTGTTTCTTTCTTTTTTGAATTTCGCGCAAAGCTACACGAGGGCTATCTACGCTAGCCGTCCCTAATTTAGCAGTGTAAGACTAGAGGGAAGCCAACTCCTGGGCTACTCTTTTACCAACGAATAGTGGAATTGACTGTCACATTATAACGCCCCCACGGCTGAAAGGGCGAGCATGTTTGGTGTGACGGGGATTCGAACCCGCGACCCTCAGATTGCGAGTCGAGCGCCCTAACCACCTGGCCATGCCGGGCCTCATTCCTCCCGGTATCTCAGCCAAACAAAAAAAAAGCCATAAAAATGTGATATTACCCGAAAATGTTTAAAAAATTTAGATTATCTTCATAACCTGTTGCTAGCATATACTCTTCTAAGTTATCTTTCTTATTTCACTTCTCATCCACAAATTTTATAGTTTTCTAAGTTATTTTTGAAGCCTTAAATTTTGGATGATACTTTATTTTTTTTACTGCAAAGCTACATTGGGGCTATCTGCTGTGTCCATCGTGGGGAATTGAACCCCGAATATAGCGTTATAGGTCCGTAAATTTAGTACAACACTGTAAATGTGTTTAGGGATAGCACGTTATCATGTAACCGTTTTGATTTATTTTTATCCTCAGCTATCATAGCTTAAAATTAAGTTATTTGTGACGTCAACATTTTACAGAAATTATTCAGTTAGTATGTACAATATTCTTGTTTACGCAAGCATTTCCAAGCTTGAAATGTATTTTTTTTCCTGTGTTAAATTAAAATACATCATCATGTTTAATTAATACTTTCTTGTGCAAAAATGAAAATTGAGATCAAGCGGGATTCTGATCTGCGGACTCGGATAATGCAAACTTCAATCTTCAATTCGTTGATATATTGACAGCCCCCTCACGAGTCAGTGGGGGACATTTTTGATGAA